GTGAGTGCCTGTGTTCCCAGCTGCTTGGGAAGCTGGGGCAAGAAATCTCTTGAGCTCAAGGGTTTGCGTTGCTGTGAGCTGTGACCCCATGGCACTCTACTGAGGGCGACATAGTGAGACTCTGTCTCAATAAATAAATAAATAAAATGAGATATGTTAACCTGGCAAGGGCAATTCAATCCCAAACAGGCCAGAAACAGGATAGTTGGAGCTGTCCACAGACTGCGAAGGCGGGGCTTGCACTCATGGGTCTGTGCACACCCAGGATCCTCCAAACTGAAGATTGGAGAGTGCACGTGTTTGAGCACACCTGGAGCTATGCGAACAGCCAGTACAGACACGTGTGCAGACAGACAGGGATCAGAGTACATCCTCAAGATTGGAAACCCACATGGATGTTGAACAGCTCAAACATGAATTTGGGTGCATACGCTAGATGGTGGATACACTTCTGAGAATGTGCACACGGCAGAGGAGGGTAGTACAACGCTCTGCACACCCAGTCGTGCGAATGCCCCGCGCTGCCTACAGGCCCATCTGAAGGAAGAAGAGGCGCCTGCCCATTTTCCCAGTACTTGGGCACTGTCCCAGGTTCTAGGCAGCATCAGAACTTTGCACTGGCACAGCCCAGGTAGTCAGAGCGTGTTTTCCCAGCTTCTGAGCATCCATCTCGTGGAGGCCATGTGCTGGCACCAACCCAGGCGCCCAAGCTCGACATCTTCAATTTCTTACTTCAGGAATGAGATATCACAAAAAAATTTATGTCTTTATTTGTCATCATCTCTGGTTCCTGAGTCTGATTTTAAATCTGGTCATCAACTGGATTCTCACACAGTAGATCTATGTTCCAATTAGTACTGAATAACTTAGGTCTAGAGTTTGCATACTCCATAAAATGTACCCAATATACCTGCTTCAACTGAATTTCTGATCTCTGTCCTGTGGCAATGAGCATACCTAGAACGGTTGGGAGAATGTGTCTTGAGTTCTGAGCCTGAGTCCTACCTGAGAAAGGTTCCCCTAAGAACCATCGTTTTAGGCCAGTGTTCTCAAACTGGAGAAAGCATCAGAATCACCTGGAAGTGTAGGTAAACCACAGATTTCTGCCCCCTACCGTCCCTGGTACTGATTCAGCAGGTCTGAGGTAGAGCCCCTAAATTTTCCTTTTGAATACGTTTCCAGATAATGTTGTGTTGCTGGTTTGGAGTATACACTTCGAGAACCATTGACTTTATTACTGCTTCTTGTGTTACCCTGCCAAAATTCCTAACCCCATACAGTAGCCAACATTTTGTGTTTAAACTGCTTCATCATTTCATGGCCTACTTTTGTATTAGTTAAAATCAATATATTGAGAGGGAGGGAGACAGAGTGGGAAAGAGAGAAAGACAGAGAAACATTAAGTGCTTGATTAAAAGCCATAAACTGGTTCCTGAAAGACAGAGAAATGATTCTGGCAAGAGAAAAAGGGTTATCTCTAGTTGTGTCCCCTTCCTTTTAACCTCTTAAGTGTCACCATGCTACATCATAATTATTTTATCTCCCTGGCAACTGATTCCTTTCAGGCTCCCATTCTGTCTGCTTTAAAAGTTCTGAAGACTTACTAGGCCTCTGCCTCACCCAGTGACCTAAAATATTCTCAGTTAAGACTGCCCAGTTTGTAATCAATGGGCCCTGTCCCATCACACTTAAGTTTCCAGATTGTATCATATTTTTTCTAAGAACTCTACTAATTTTCATTGAATCAAGTCAAGGCACCAAAACCTGCATAATTTGAAGCTATCTGGGATGTGTGACTGATTTCAAGTGAAAAAATATAAATCACATTCCTGTATCAAATACTTTTCTAGACCAAGAAAGAAATAACCCTAATAATTTCAGTTGCACTGGGTGTCAAGAAAATATGAATAAAATTTAGAATTTAAAAAACAGTATGTAAGTGTTCAATTTAAAGCAATGACACATTATTTCATCGTACCAAATCTTAGGGCAGATATTAGAGGCTATATATTTGAATTTGTTCAGAATTCCTATTTTGTGAAGGTTGCTGTAGGGTACTTTGTGCTGTAATTATATCTGCTGATTTTTCTCTATGATAGATTAAATACAGTATATTATACTTAGAGCTGATATCCCCTTATCCCTCTACCACCCCACTGATTATTGAGAGTCTTTAGAGAAAATAGCTCATTGCACTGGATGATTACATGCCTCAATTGAATAGTAACTTGCTGCCAATTATCATTACAATGCCATATTGATTTTTTTTTCTCGTTTCCCTTATGGAAATTAAAGCAGAATTTGTTTAAAACGAGCTTCTGTCTATATTGTGGATATGATTGGTTCTGAATATGAGCTGCTTTTGAATATATTTTCGGCAGTGATCTGGTGCCTCTGCCTGATATTCTCTTAGAAATTTAGGCCTCTACTTTGTTGATGAGCTCTACATTAGGGAGATATGAAATGGATAGTTTGAAGGCTAGAGTGGAAATATAGATGTGGTTTAAATATATAGAGTATAGATTTTAATTATTGCTGAACAGAAGCCTGCTATGTATTGATTTATGTTTATGAAGTTCTTGGGAAGTATGAGACTGCTTATTTTCTTAACCACTCAGGCAAGTAAATTTAATTAAACTTAAATTAGCAAATATTTATTTAGTGTTGACTATATATAATGTAAATATTTATTTAGCAGATATATATAAGCCACGTGGCTAAGCACAACGGTAGGTAGAAAGATGAATAAAGTCATATAACTGTCTTTGAGAATTTATCATCCTGAGGGGTGTGGGTAAGACATGCAGGCAGTAAGAGCTAAAGATTATATGGGGATTTGAAAGAGAAAGAACTCTTTTTTTGGCTAGAGAAGAAAAACACTAATGGCTTAAAACAGCCAATTTAAGCCTGGAAGATTGGGAGAGATGACTTTGGGGTTATCCTCAGGGAAGAAAGAATAAATGAACTAACACAAGGAAGTACAGGGAGGACTCCCGGAAAGATGCTTTATCCAATAAAAATTGAATAAGTTAATTTCATGTGCTTTATGGCCTGAGGCTAGAAAGGTAGATTGAGGCTAGATTAGAACAGTGGACTAAAGGATTTACAAAACATGGGATTAAATTACTCTTAATCACAGTCTTCTGTACAGAAACTTCCCTGGACATCCAGGGAACTTGCGGTTAAGAGCAGTTTATCCAGTGTTTTCTTAAATGAATAAAGGACAAGAATGGAGCTGTGGAGACACAAGTTGGGAATCTCCATGCACACTAAAGGACAGGTAACTAGGGCTAAATTAGAATGTTAGCAAAGACACTGAAAAGGAAGCCTGGGCCATGGGTAGTGCCTGTGGCTCAGTGAGTAGGGCACCAGCCCCATATACTGAGGGTGGCAGGTTCAAACCTGATTGCGGCCAAACTGCAACAAAAAATAGCCAGGCGTGGCCGGTGCCTGTAGTCCCAGCTGCTCGGGAAGCTGAGGCAAGAGAATCCCCTAAGCCCAGGAGCTGGAGGTTGCTCTGAGCTGTGACGCCACGGCACTCTACCCAGGGTGAGAAAGTGAAGCCCCTAAAAAAAAAAAAAGGGCGGGCCATCTGGGGGAGCCATTCTAGAAGCAGAATATTCATGACTGGATGCCAGGAAGTCAAAGCAAGTTCTGTGTGATCAGTTTTCCAGCCTTCTGCCATACGTGGAACTTTATCTCCAGCTACTCTCCAAGCCTTCTGCCACACTGATCTCCTCACAGCTCCTATAACATTCCAATTACTATTGTTAACATCTCAGAACCTAGTTTGTTCTTATGCCTGGAAAAGTCACTTCCTTCAGATCTCTGCTCAAATACCCCCTTATCAAAGAATCTTTCCCTGATCACATATTGAAAAATAGCATCCTGGCTCGGTGTCCATAGCTCGGTGGTTAGAGCGCTGTCCACGTGTACCAGAGCTGGTGGGTTCGAACCTGGCCGGAGCCTGCTACACACACACACACACACACACGCATGCACACACGCACGCACTCACACACACATAAATACACAATAGCTGGGCATTATGGAGGGTACCTGTAGTCCCAGCTATAAGGGAGGCTGAGGCAAGAGAATCGCTTAAACCTGAGGGTGACATAGCAAGACTCTGAGTCAAAAAAAAAAGAAAGCATCCTGCCACTCCTTTTATTCCATTTACCATGGTGTATTTTTCATCAGTGCATCAAAAACACTAACATTCATTATATAGTTATTTGTTCATCATCGGTCTACCTCTTTCCAGATAGCTACATGAGGGTACAGGATTAGTGGTTTTTTTTTTCTTGCCTGTTACATATCTCTGTCACCTGTAACATGCGTGGCAGTTAGAAGACACTCAACAAATATTTGTTGAAAATAAGCAGAGTAAGTACAAAGGTGAAAGAGATGGGGGATCAAAATCTTATGCTAGTATTTCAAATCAGAAGTATTCAAATAGTAGTGATATTAATAATAGACTATGGAAGAGTGGAGGAGTTGGTTTAGGGAGTAGAGATAGGGGGAAGTAAATTCAGCTTATAAATTCAACCTTAAGTATATTATGCTGGTGAAACAGCCAAGGCAGTGCTATGTGATGTGCAGTTGAAGATGGAGTGAAGTCAGGGATTGAGGTAAAGATGACTGAGTTATCCTTATAGACTGAATCAGGGGTCCTCAAACTTTTTAAACAGGGGGCCAGTTCACTGTCCCTCAGACCTTTGGAGGGCCGGACTGTGGGCCCCGGGACAAGTTGGCTGCTAAGCAGGACAGGCAGCGGTGGCAAAAACACCTGGCGGGTCGGATAAATGTCCTCGGTGGGCTGCATGTGGCCTGGGGGCTGTAGTTGGAGGCCACCTGGTCAGAGAATACTTGAAGCAATGGGAGGAGAAGAGAGAACAAGTGATATTAAGACAGACTTATAAAATTTGAAAAACAGGATTGTATTTGGAATATTTAATGTTTTAAATATGCAAACTTATTTTTGTTTGTTTATTTCTTAGCTGGGTTAACAACTTTGGCCATGAAGGTCTTGGACTGTTACTGGACGAGCTGGAAAAACTTCTGGACAAAAAACAGTAAGAATAAACATTAAGAATAAAGTCACCAAGGGGAAAATTTATAGGCACAACATAATACGTTTTTTTTTTCTTTTACGTAGGCAAGAAAATATCGACAAGAAGAATCAGTATAAACTTATTCAGTGCCTAAAAGCATTTATGAATAATAAGGTAATTAGTATTTCTTTCTGCCTTTGTCACAAAAGGTGAGAACTTGCCAGATAGTAGGAAAATATGAAACAGACAAAATAGTGGGTGTTTATCCAGTTTACAAAAGGGTCTTTATGATGCAAATCATAAGTTTCATTTAATACTATTTATAAAATACTTTGCTTCACAAATACTTTTTTTTTTTCCAAACATACTAGCTTTGTTCCCAATTTAGGTAGGGTAATAAGAATACTTAAATGTCATGTGTTGAATACTCCTCCATACAGAGAGTTTTCATTCCATTGAAAAGGAAAAATGATGGGATGATTTGACTTGTTTGCTAAGAACATTGTAAGATCATGATTTCTTTTTATTTTATCTTCAATTAATGTCAGTGAGTTAACATACCTAAAAGAGATGTCTGGAAGATAGCAGGATTTGGTTTTTTTTTGTATTTGTATAATACCAGTTACATTATAAGATACCTTATGAATTTTAGACAATGGTTTTTCTTCTAAAAGTAGTCTGTACTCAGGTTATGAAGTTACAGTAATTTTTCTATAAACTATTTTTGTTACTGTCTTAGAAACAATCTGCTCTATGCACCTATAAAGAAAATATGATTGACTAATTTACTTATATAATTCTCTTTACATGGAATTTTAATAATTTCAGAATATTTAGTATAAATAAATATCACAACCAGAAACTTGCCAAATGTGACATAAAGCTATTAATAACCAGTGCAATAAGATTAAAACCAATGTAATCTGCAGTCTTTGGTAAGAATATAGAATTATGGGTAAGAATTTATGTATTATACTCACATGTATCAGCAAAGAATGTTATCAGCACATGCAATGGATGCTTGTTCATGAACAGAAGACTCTTGCATAGAATATACTAACTGTGCTGTTTCTGGAAGTTTCTTACAAAAAGTCTCACATCACTACTAGTATAGAATTTCTCAGTATTAGTGCTCTTAGTCTTTGGCTATAAGGTTATATGGAATCTTATGCCTAACAAGAAAGTAGTTAATGAACATTGCTTCTCCACAGCTCAGGATAGATATCTTTCTTCAATTGAGGGAAACAGTGACCTAAAGGAAAGAGAACAGTACTAGAAATCAGGAGATATAATTCATGTTTTGCCACTAATAAGTTGAGTGGCCATTGGAAAATTACTTGACTTCTCTGGCTATCAGTCTGTAAAATTTGGTTTTGGAGCTTTTGTTCTGAGTTCTTACGGATTTGCATTGTCAACTGTCACAGCTGTTCAGGATGCTAATTGTGATGTGAATAGTCACTAGAGAAAGTCGTATTAGTGAGATTTTCTGAAAAATCTTTTTTTCACAAGAGATACTTTAGGGTGGCGCCTATGGCTTAGTGAGTAGGGTGCTGGCCCCATATACCCAGGGTGGTGGGTTCGAACCCAACCCTGCCCAAACTGGCAACCAAAAGAAAAAAAATAGCTGGGTGTTGTGGTGGGCACCTGTAGTCCTAGCTACTTGGGAGGCTGAGGCAAGAGAATTGCCTAAGCCCAGGAGCTGGAGGTTGCTGTGAGCTGTGACGCTATAGCACTCTACTGAGGGCAACAAAATGAGACTTGTCTCTAAAAAAAAAAAAGAGACAGAGATACTTTAATATGTTAACACATAGCTTCTTTTTTTTTCAGGATATTTGAGGGTACATGTGTTTTGTTTATATACTTTGTTTTTTATACAAATTGAGTCAAAGTTATAAGTGTGCCCCTCACCAAGATAGTGTGCACTGTTCCAAATAGGTGTGAATTTACCTGTCCCCCTCCCCTATCCCAGCCTGATTTTCATTGAGATTTACTTTCTTATGAGCACTTTTAAGTGGTGATTGATCAGTTTGACACATAGTTTCTTAAGTGTTTAGCAGTTTGGAAGAGCATGATGATTTGACCTAGATTATTCTAAATTGAGGCTAAGTTTTAGTTAGGACATGTTAATGTCTTACAAATAGCTGCTTAGATCATGAGTAAGTGGGTCTTTAAATTATAGACATGTGGCTCGGCGCCTGTAGCTCAAGTGGCTAAGGCATCAGAGCTGGCAGGTTCAAATCCAGCCCAGGCCTGCCAAACAACAATGACAACTACAATAAAAAAATAGCTGGGCATTGTGGCAGGCACCTGTAGTCCCAGCTACTTGGAAGGGTGAGGCAAGAGAATTGCTTAAACCCAGAAATTGGAGTTTACTGTGAGCTGTGATGCTACCGCACTCTACTCAGGGTGACAGCTTGAGGCTCTGTCTCAAAAAAAAAAATTATAGACATGTGAAACAATAGGTATAAAATATGCATTCAAAATAGAAAATACATGATGATCTATCCATTTCATGTTAGATTAAATTGTCCCAATCAAGGGATAAAACTTCCATCTGAAGTGACTTACACATCAATTTTTTTGGCCCCATGAAGTTTGGAGGTTATCTACTGCAAATTGAAAACTCTTTTTCCATATCCCAGTGGTTCTCAACCTTCCTAATGCCGTGGCCCTTTAACACAGTTCCTGTGGGTTGTGACCCACAGGTTGAGAACCGCTGCCTTACTCAGTAAACATAATAATAAGATCATAAAATGCAGCCCGTTGTTTCTTAACTTCAATTACTGTGACATTGCTCTGGTGTTTGGATTGGTAGTTTTTCCAAATCTATTTGTCATGTATTCATTTTTATTTTCACTATGTCTCTATATATTAAAAAATTACTTTTAAACATTAAATAGCACTTTTAAAAGTTAAATGATTTCACTCTCATTCTAATTTAGTTAACAGCTTTTAAAAGCTGTTATTTTAAGTTTGGAGATTACATGGTAATCATCTCTCAGTTTGACAAATGTGTTTTTCACTTGTATTATTTCCTTTTTGTTATCTACTGTGCACCTCTGTACATACTTACCTTTCTTCTTTCTAATCTTGTCTCTCTCATTTTCTTTTGCTTGTTCTGGTCTGGTCTTTTCTGAGACACAGTCTTACTTTGTTACTCTCAGTAGTGTGCTGTGGCACCATAGCTCACAGTAACGTCAAACTATGGGCTCAAGTGATCCTTTTGCCTCAGCCTCCTGAGTAGCTGGGACTACAGGCACCTGCCACAAAACCCAGGTATTTTTTAGTACAGACAGGATCTCCCTCTTGCTTAGGCCGGTCTGAAGCTCCTGAGCTCAAGCAGTCCACCGGCCTTGGCCTCCCAGAGTGCTAGGATTACAGGCATGCATGGGCCACCACACCTGGCCTCTTTTTGTCTTGTCTTCTCTCCATGTATTTTCTTTCTTATTATGGTAAGTCATACTTAAGAGCTTAAGCTATGTTCCCCATTTGCCCCTCCATATTCCTTTACATGTTAAATTAGGAAGCATGTAACTATTAATATGTTTGGTGCTTATTAAAAGTCAGCTTGAAATGGAAATTTTGCTTCTATGAGATGTTGTTGGATTTCACTATTTGAGTATAAAACAAAGCAAATATATTTTATAAGAAATCTGAGAAATATTGTGAGGAACAAAGATCCAAGAAAATATTGCCATCTTAATGTAATGTAAGCCTTAATTAGCATTTCTTATTAAAATTAGCCTGTTTGCACATGTGTCTACACACACACTTTTTTTTATTTTTCAAGAGACAGAGTCTCATTTTATTGCCTTCGGTAGAGTGCTCTGGCGTCACAGCTCACAGCAACCTCAGCTCCTGGGCTTAGGCAATTCTCTTGCCTCAGCTTCCCAAGTAGCTGGGACTACAGGTGCCTGCCACAACATCCTGCTATTTTTTTGTTGCAGTTTAGCCGGGGCCGGGTTCAAACATGCCACCCTCAGTATATGGGGCTGGTGCCCTACCCACTGAGCCACAGGTGTCACACCACACACACACATATTAATGCCTAAAAAATAAAATATATCTTCTCTGCTTATTAACTTCTGACACTTAATAAAACCCAAGTGCCACTTCTTTGGATTCATAGCTTAGTAATGCAGTGCAGCGCCTGAAATGAGGAAGCTGAGGAGATCACGGAATGAGAAAATCCATACTGAGGTTTATTGCTTCTTTAATTGGCATATAGTATACAAAATAGGTATTATTATTTTTAACATTTTACCCTTTTTGTTCACCTTAAGTTTCTATGCAAACATATGGGAGACCCAATGACATAGAAGTACTTTGCAAATCATATCATTATGTACTTAACATGTTCTTTGTTGAAGAAATACTGATTGTTCCCCTATTTTTAGGGCAGGCAAATGGAGATCCTATCTGATCAAGGGGCAAAAATTCTAAGATGCAGTCATTTCACATAAAATGCAAAGGCAAATTGACTGCATTTTGGAGGTGTGGGTTTTTGGAAGATCATTGTAAATTGCTCTTTAAAAATGAAAGGTATGTTTTATAGACATTTTAAAAGAAAGTTTTCTTGTTTTTTCCTCTTTAGTTTGGATTACAAAGGATTCTGGGAGATGAAAGAAGCCTTTTGTTACTGGCAAGAGCAATTGACCCGAAACAACCCAACATGATGACTGAAATAGTAAAAATACTTTCTGCTATTTGCATTGTTGGAGAAGAGAACATGTAAGTATTGCAATCTTATTATATTTGCTGCATGGAAAATGACACTTGAAAAATTAATAAGTCCTACTTTTCTGTGGATAACTTGCATGAAAACAAAATTTAATTTTAGAAAATTTTTGTTTGACTTTTTTTTCCTATTTATATTTTCTCTTTTTTGTTGACATTGTGAAAACAGTCTTTAAACAGATAGGAGTCCTAATGGGAAATTCTTCAAAGTTGGATTTAAAGTGAATAAATAGATGTTGGTTTTGCTGAAGCTAAAGCAGTTGTTGAAAAGTAGGCAAAAGTCAGAGAGTTATTTTGGCAAATATATACACACACAAACAAAATTCTGTATATCACATAATATGACTTCTCTGAGTAGATATGTTTATTTTATACTATTTACATTATTATTTTATAGTAGTATTTCACTTTATTTGTTTATGGTAAGTGAAAAGATGAAGTAATTATTTGTAGAGTGAAATAAACCTGTTAAAAAGAAAGATAAAAGATTATTGGTAATTATTCAGAGTGTATATATGTGCCAAATTTAGCAAGTTGTTGGTGAACATGTGTTAGATCATATCTTATAGAGATAATATTGAATGAGAAGCAAAATTTAGGATTTCATATCATTACTAAGTTCAGTTTGTAAGAAGCCATTGTGGTGGCTCGGTGCCTGTGGCTCAAGTGGCTAAGGCGCCAGCCACATACACCTAAGGTAGCAGGTTCAAGTCCATCCTGGGCTGCCAAACAACAATGATGGCTGAAACAAACAAACAAAAAAAAATAGCCGGGTGTTGTGGTGGGCGCCTGTGGTCCCAGCTACTTGGGAGGCTGAGGCAGGAGACTCACTTGAGCCCAGGAGTTGGAGGTTGCTGTGAGCTGTGATGCCATGGCACTCTACCCAGGGTGACAGCTTGAGGCTCTGTCTCAAAAAAAAAGAGAGAAAAGCCATTGTGGTTAAAAATGAAATATTTTCTAAGGACATGAACCAAAATATTTCTTTGCAACATTTTGTGTGACAGTAATAATTTAGATTTGAATCAGTACAGGGCCATACAAAGCTTTTTTTGAGACAGAGTCTCATTTTCTTGCCTCTGGTAGAGTACTGTGGTGTCATAGCTCACAACAACCTCAAACTCTTTGGGCTCAAGCAATACTCTTGCCTCAGCCTACCAAGTAGCTGGGACTACGGGTGCCAGCCACAATGCCCAACTATTTTTTTTTTCAGAGACAGGGGTCTTACTCTTACTCTCATGTGCTCCAGGGATCCGCCTGCCTCAGCCTCTCAGAGTCCTGGGATTACAGGCGTGAACCATGGCACTTGGCCCCATACAAAGATTTAATGATGTTCTAATCTAATACGTTGACTTTCTCACAACTATTATAAGCATGAGATGTTGCTTAGTGTTAGCAAATATGCTTAGAAATCAAAAGATAAATAATAAAGAAAGCTATCATCATATAGTGTTAAGCCTTATCTCTGAGTACAAACTGAGAGTGAGATAACATGCAGAAGTAAGTTTTTGTAAGGTTTTATAGAAAAATCAGTTTATATATGAGTAAGGAATTTTTTGTCAATTAGATTTTCAATACTTAATTCATAAAATATAGTCTATCCGGTATAATTGTTAACATTTAATTATAATTTCAGATATCATTTGATAAAAGTAGTATACTACTTAGAGGTTAATTTGATTTGGGCATTGTATGGATATACTTATAAATATTTTTCTTCATGTAAATAAGTTTCTTGTCATAAATAATCATAGATTCTTCTTTGATTACCTGAACTTGTTCTTTCAGATTTTTTTTTTTGTTTCTTGTTCTCTTATCAAAAACTATTGAAGATTTAGGTCATTTATAAAACGTTCACTCTTTCAAGCAACTTTTTAATAAAATTAGTCTGTTTATACTCAAATAAGCTGTTAATTATTATAGATTATGTATTATGTTTAAGTGATATTAATATATCAAGACATGAAATATTAAAACCTAGGGCAGCGCCTGTGGCTCAAAGAAGAAGGGCGCTGGATCCATATGCTAGAGGTGGTGGGTTCAAACCCAGCCCTGCCCCCCCCAAAAGAAAGAAATATCAAAACCTAAAGATTTAAATTTTAATTTTAAATTTAAATTTAAATTTCAAAATGTCACCTAGAAAAGTTATTTTCAAGGTTTTTTAAATTGAATTTTCATTTGATGTCCTAAAATTATTTAAAGCTATCAACATTTGACTTATAGAAATATGTGGACAGGAACCGAGTTCTTGCAGTGGTCTTTCAGTTTGACAGGAGGAATAAGCTCAGATAACTATTGTACATCATGGTGACTTCGGCTAATATATTGCATACTTTAAAATTCCTAAGACAGTAGATTTTAAGTATGTACTATGTTGCAGAATTAGTATGTGAGGCAGTGTATATATTAGTTTGATTTAGCCAATCTACTATGTATACATATTTCAAAACATACACTATTTTTGTCAATTAAAAAATAGTAATTTAAAAAAATGTAAACATAAAGCATCAGAAAGAAAACAGGGAAGATTGAAAGGAACAACCGGTGCTCATAACGTGTGTGTCAGAACTATTTCTTATTTGATTCCTTTTTTTTGTCCCTACAGTTTAGAAAAACTTTTGGGGGCTATCACTACAGCAGCTGAAAAAATTAATAGGGAACGATTTTCATCAATTGTGGAAGGATTAGAAAATCATGAAGCTTTGCAATTACAGGTGAGTTCATTTTGTCTTAAATTGCTTATGGAGTTAATTTAGAGTACTCATTTTGTATGACACCAACTCTGTGTTAGCTGGCATTTATATAATATGAAAAGTAAAAATGAAATTCTTCCTCATCTTTATTTTTTTTTCCCTTTTTTTAAAATTAGGAACCCATAGCTGGGTACATTAATGCAGTCATGGGGTACATTGTGCTGGTTTTATATACAATCTGAAATATTTTCATCAAACTGGTTAATATAGCCTTCATGGCATTTTCTTAGTGCCTATTTATAGTATAAAGTTTTAGACTAAACATCCTAATTTGCATATATTATTTGATTTAATTTTCACAACAACCCAGCTATGTAGGTATTACTGTATCATCATCTCTATTTTGTTTATGCGATGAATAAACTAAGATTGAATAACTTGTCTAAGGTGAATGGATTTGATGCTACTTGTTTTGGTCTTTTGTGCTTATTTATGTCTTTATTTTAGGCAGTGTGTATATACATTTAATGTAATATGGAAAACTCTCTGAAATATTTTTTAAGCACTTATATTGTTGTTCAACCAAGAGAACATGGTTCCACCTTCAGGGTTGTCAAGTTTTTTAGTAGTGAGTGTTTAAGTATTAAAATTTCTTATCTGTTGTGAAACAAATATAATTAATTGTCTCCCTTTTCCTTGTATTATGAAGTATTAGTATCTTTTTTTGCCAGAGTTTGAAACTATATCAGATTGATGAATTGGCTGGTATAAAGAGTAACTGTAATGTTACAAAAGTATAATACCTCTCCAAATATTGAAGGATAGTTGCTAATTATTATTACTCTAAATATAATGAGCATTTTCTTTTTTTGGGGGGGGCAGTTTTTGGCTGCCCGGGTTTGAACCCCCCACCTCCAGTATATGGGGCTGGTGCCCTACTTTGAGTCACAGGCACCGCCCCTATCATGAGCATTTTCAATTAACTTTTATGGTGCACCTGTTAAAGGTGTTTTTCTCTCTGCTTGGTCTGGAAATTCAAATGAAACAGCAGACCAGGTGAATAAGTGACAGGACAAAGTTATTTACAGAGAAAGACGTAGAAAGAAGGGTAACAAAGCCTTTGGCAGTGGAGGGGGTGAATTCCCACATGGGAAAAACCTTTTGTCTAGGGGTTCATATACTGCTTGGGATGGGGTGGTGGGTTTGGGGGGTGTCTTGTGAATGTGTGTCACACTTGGCTTGGAGCTGGCAGACAGAAAACGTCCTGCCCATGTTGATTAGGGAATGAATATATTAGCAAATGAATGTGGTCCTCATAGGTCCTGTCCCAGGGGAAGCAGCCGGGTTTGGTTTTCCTTTTGGCGATTCATTGAGGGTACAAAGAACCAGATTACATTGATTGCCTTTGTTAGATAAAGACCCTCTTATAATTGTGTCCTGCCCCTAAAAGGTGTACCACATCCTGTAACCCCCCCACCTCCTCTCTTCGTCCCTTTCTTAGCTCTGCTAGTACACGGTGGGGGGTAGGGGATGGGGAGAGCCAAGGAACCCAGTATGGTTTTCACTTGAGGAAGGGTCACCCTGATGAGACACAGGTCAGGCTGCTTTTCTCTGATCCTGCTTGCATCTAGAGAGTGTGGCCTGGAAAAAGCCTGTTCGCCCAGGCCTAGAAAATGGAGGTCCCTGTCCAGCCCTGAATAGGGAACCCTATATCACGCCTTTTATGTCAAATGTGTTACACTTTTTAAAAATTGGGATATTTCTTTCCAGTGTTTTGTTATTTTTTTGAGACAGAGTCTCACTATGTCGCCCTGGGTAGAGTGCTGTTGTGTCACAGCTCACAGCAACCTCAAACTCTTGGGCTTAAGCAATTCTCTTGCCTCTGCCTCCCAAGTGGCTGGGACTACAGGTGCCCACCACAATGCCCAGCTACTTTTTTGTTGTGGTTATCATTGTTGTTTAGCTGGCTTGGGCTGGTTCTAACCCTCCACCCTCAGTGCATGTGGCTGGCTCTGTAACCACTGTGCTAGGGGTGCCAAGTCCCAATGTTTTTTTTTTTTTTTATAGTACATTTGTCATTATTATCAAACTTAATGTTAATAAAGATTGATAGCTGCCTTTTATAGATGACTTCTTGAAAGTTTTGTTTTTGTTCTTATGGTTGGGCTTACCTAACTAAATTTCATTGGCTTTCAGCTATATGTGTAAGTTTGTACTTCTCTTGCAAAGTTTGTTTAGAAGGAATTAAATATTTATTTATTTATCCTCAAAGTTTTCTTTAAATTTTATACTCAGCTTGCATATTGGGCCAAGTATATTTATGTATGTTAAAAATCTTCTTTAAATGAAATTCTAGCCATAGCTCCGTGAGTTATGTATTATAATTTCCAGTTACTGATCAGGAATTGAGTTGCCTGAAGACTAAGCAACCCACTCAAAATCACACAGCTGTTAAAGGGGAAGAGCTGTGATTTGAACCCAGGGCTTTGTGATGTCATCATTTGTGTTCTGCATTGCCTGTTCTTGTACGTGACACCTCTGGAAGAGTAGTTCACCACAAGCAGTGAAATGGAATTGACATTTGCTAGCCTTCAGTCAGCTGGACAGAATGGAACAATAAAGTGGCAAGCTGTTAATACATCACATACTGAAGAATCATAGACATCTTGCTGAGTATTCAAGAATTGTTGAATACTGATCATAGATGCAAGCATATGCAAACCACAATTTGAAATTTCATATTTTAATGAGCTACAAAAATTAGTAATTTGTTGTAGACAGAGGTTAGCACTCTTATGAGAATTATGAAGTAGGTTTGTGTATTTGGACTAATGTAGATGAAAAATATATCCTCCAAAGTTCAAAAAGGTATTCAGAATACAGAAATGAAAAACAATAGTTTAAATCTGTTGTTTAAAAAATATAATTAGTGCTGTATTTTAACAGAATTACTTTTCTATTTCTGTAGTATCCTGAGACTTCTCAAAATGTTATTATAGTCTCAGGAAGTAATTTTGTTAAAATACAGGACTAATTATATTTCTAAATAACAGCTATATACCTTTTTTTTCTTTTTTTGGATTTTAAAACAGGTTATTAACTTCTCACCTATTTTTCTGACTCACCTTTATAGTGGAATTTTGTACTCACGATAGGATTTTCATTATCTTCAGTAGTTCAAGAAATAGCTGGAAGATAAATTGCGTATCTTTATATGCTCTCATGCTCTCTCTTTACTGACTTTCCTTCAATAGGAGCATTCTTCAGCCTCCTTCACTAGCACCTTCTTTTGATCTGACTCACCCTTCTAACTTGCCTCTCATCTCCCTTTTTCATTTCATAGTCCACATCGCTAAAAGAATAATCCATACTTGTTTTTCTGTTTTCTAAATTACCTTTAACAATTCAGTTTTCTCATAGTTCTCCAAAAGGCCTACAATAATCCTCTAATTTCAAAATCCAATGGCCTCTTTCCAATCCTGATCACTTAGCCCTATTGATCATCGTCCTCCTTGAAAGTTTTACTTCCGTTTGCTTTCTAGGCACCATTCTCGCCTTGCTCTCTAACTATTCTTTATCTTTTAAAGGTAATTTTTTTTCTTACATTCTACCCTTGGTTCTCTTCTCTTATGATTTTATAGACATATAGCCATATGCGATATGCATATAGACACATACATGCATGAATACTTATAGACACAAATAAATTTACTCCATGAATATTCTCAATTGCTTCTCTAGCTTTAACATCCAACTATATGCTAGTGATTCTCTGGATTTTTATGTATAGCCCATACTTCTCTCTATTCAACCCTACACGTCTGCCTAACTAGATACCTTATAAGCATCATATGCATAAAAATAAGAAATTAGAAATAGCATTTATGAGCCTTGTGCCAGGAACTGTTCTAAATACTTTACATGTTTAACCTCATTTAACCCTCATAGCACTTCTATGAGGTATTAGTATCACCATTTTATATATGAGTAAACTAAGGCTTATGGCAGTTAAATAACTTTCCTAGGGTCATAGCATGCATTGAAGGCAAAGCCCAGATTAGATACCTGGAAGTCTGGCTCTAGCACACATCCTTTCACTATTGCACTTTATCTCTTCTTACATTAAAACTGAGCTCATAATCTTTTCCTCCAACCTGATTTCTCCCAAAGAAGTTTACTCTTCTTTCTATATTTCACCTTTAGATTATAGAGATAATCATCTTTTATGGAAGCTTTAATTGTTCTCAGGACTTCATTCTTCTCTGTCCACTGCATTCAGTCAATCATCCAGTCTTATCACAGTGTATTGACTATGAATCTAACCCCTTCTCTCTACCTCCACTGCCTTTATTGTCTCCCACCAATATTATTCCAACAGTTTCCTAGTTAGTACCCCACACTGATATGTTCCTCCTCTCCAGACAAATTACACATTGTCAGTTATCCTTAAGGAAAAAAGTCTAATTCTAACATATTTTCATTCTTAGAAACTTAACTGCTAATGTGATAAAGGTGAAAGAAAAGCCTAATCATGATCTATAACCTTTTCTTCAGTGTGGCCCTAACTTAACATTCTGGTCATCAAGCCGATCAGGCTTCCAAACTTATCTGATGTTTTAGCCATACTAAACCAAATGTTTCTATGGTATAGACTTTTACATGCCCTCAAGCATTTTATCATGCAGACTACTTTGCTTGAAATACCTACAACTGCCTACCTGTATTTGGTTCCTCCTGGTAAAGTTTAAGGAGAGCACAAAGGAAGGAAAATTTAGGTATATCTTATATAAGCTTTCAGTGGTCAGGTAGTGATTCAATTGTGCTTTGAAGGATAAGGAATAACTTTTCAGAAATTATCTTCGCTGATAGAGAACCTGTACTACGATAAGATGGAAGGGTAGAAGAGCTTCCAGGAGGTAAATTGAGGCCAGAATAGTCTGCCAATCACTTCATAAAAGGAGACAGATTGAGGTAATACCAACATCTACTTGAACTGATTTCTGTGTAGCCAAAGTGGGCAG